GTGCCATGAAGGAGATGGCAGACTTACTCGGCATACGAGCAGCACCGGATGGGAATCCCGACAGTTTACTAATGCTGGTTAAGCAGCGGCTGAGCTCATCGTACGCGGGTAAATGGTTACTTATTGTTGACAACGCTGACGATATGAAAATTGTTGATGGCCTGCGCGAGTATTTACCGATTAGTGATACTGGAATGACAGTCTTTACCACTCGAACAGCCGATGTAGCACAGCGAGTCGCGCGTAGCGATGTACTCAAGATCGGGAAACCAGACGAAGACGAAGCGGGACAGCTTCTAAGGAAGGCACTTGCAAACCCGGAGGGCTTAGAGAATGACGCGACGAGCACGAGCGAACTCCTCGTCGAGCTGGACTATCTTCCTCTTGCGATTACCCAAGCTGCAGCGTATCTCAACATCAACGACATAGCGATCTCCGAGTACGTTAGACTCCTGCGGAGTACCGCCGACGATGTCATATATCTCATGAGTGCGGAGATTGACGACAACACGCGGTACAAGCAGTCGGCGAGTGCTATAGCGACGACGTGGACCGTATCTTTTCAGCAGATCTTAAAGCAGGACAGTATTGCAGCAGAGCTCCTACAGTTTATATCGTGCATCGAGTGGAAGGCAATTCCGTACTCGATGTTGCCCGTAGTAAAGCCGGAAGCGCGGACGAGGACGGCCGTCGGCACACTCTGCTCCTACTCGTTTCTTAGCAGACGGGCAGATGGGACGACGTACGACATGCATCGGCTAGTGCACTTAGCGAGCCGGATCTGGCTACGGGAAGAAGGTCGCACAGCAGAGATCCAGGTAGAGGCGACCAAGCACGTCGCAAAGATATTCCCAACAGACGACTATACGAATCGATTTTTATGGCGGGCGTACATGCCGCATGCCGCGCAGACGCGAAGCTATTGGTTGAGTCAAAACACCACCGTTGACATAGCTAAAGATGGCGGAGAAGTAAGCGAGCTCAGCTATAAGGTAGGGAGATGTCTTCTCAAAGACGGACGGACGAGGGACAGCGTGCAGTGGCTGCAGGAAGCAGATGATAAAAGAAGCAAGCTTACGGAGGAGCATCCG